GCTGACAGCACCGGGCCAGGGTCCCGAACGGCTCGGGGCGCCGGCAACGTACCGCGAGACGCCTCCCTTCACCCGTCCCAGAGCCGGTCGCCTGAGAAAGTCAAGGCCTGAGCATTTCCCATGCACAGAGAACCACCACTCCACGGCCCCCCTGCCCTGCAAACCGGCCGCTCCTGGGTTCCACAGGATTGCAGCCCGGGGGCTAATCAGAGCTCATCCAATTAGCTAGAAGAAGCTGGTGGCTGGGAAAGAGGGCTGCGACTGGTGTTCTGCAGCTGTCGAATTCAATGCATGCCGGGCACGGAAGCCAGCAGGGCTCTGTTTTGCTGTCTGGATGGGGAGGGGAAAGAAGAGGAGGCCTGATTCTCTTCCCTGTTGCACCAGTCTACATCCATACTGGGCAAGACCCACAGCCAGTGTGAACTGGTGCAGCTGTGGCCCACACGCCTTCTGCAGGGGAGGGTGTTTTCGCTGCGCTGTCCCGCCTCATGGCACCGAGACCGGGCACAGCGCAAGTAACAAGCCTGCGCCATGGCCTGCACTGCCAGCCAGCCGGCTCTTAGTGGGAGAGGCTCCTGCACTAAGCTCCCGAGGTCGCAGGTTCGCGTCCGCCTCCCGCAGCGCCACTGGATTCCATGAAGTGACCCCAAAATCCGCCTGCTGGGAATCAGGCCTACTGATGAGGGTGTTGCTCTGGATCGGGGCGGGCTGGATCTGGCCCACCAAGCCCTTTGATCCCGCCCTGCCACCGGGCCCGTTGGGGGTGGGGAAGCCCACGGAGCCTCCTCCCCTGCCAGGGGTGTGTGGCACTGGAGGGAAGCCCCAGCTGTTCCAAACAACTGGCGGTGCCCTTGGCAAAGTGGGGGCAGGGGCAGAAAGATTCCCTCAAGGGAAGCTGCCTAGGCCCCGCCCCTTCTGCCTGATGCCCTGCCCCTTCCAAAATCTGGTGACGTGCCCACCCCTGCTCTGGAGTCACCCCAAAGTATGTGGATCAGCGTCAGGCTGGGAAGCGGCCGTCGGCGCTCAGAGATTCCCTGGGTCTCGTTCTCCGCTGCCATTTACGCCCGCGCAGGCTCAAATTCGGCCGTGGCCTTGGGAGGATCTGGCCCCGCTTCTCCTCGTGGCCCTGGGCCCGCGGGGCTGGGAGGGCAGGTCCCACCCCGGGGGAGGAAGGCAGGGCAGGAAGGGCACAGCTCAGAGGCCCCACAGGCACAATCTGCATCCCCATCTGAGCACCAGGAGACAGGGGGGAGCTGAGCAGCCCAGCCAGGGACAGGTGCGGTGCACGGGGTCCCATAGTTCCACGGGGCTCTGTGCTGCTCCATCCCGGCTGGGCACCGGAGCCCCCGTGGGTGCCGTCGGCTGGCTCTGGCTTCCGCCCTGGTCCCTCGCGGGCCCACCTGCTCCGAGCAGCGCCCAGGGCTGGAGGCATCGCTGCCCATGTCAGCCCCCGGGACGTGCGGGAAGTTCCCGCGTCCTTGATGCAGAAGGCGGCTGAATTCTTGCCCCGCCTTGGGCCCGGGGACGGAGCGTTTGCAGCGGGAAGCCGATGGCCCCTGGGCGACAGCGCGAACACCCTGGAGGGGGCCCCCTCCCGCTCCAGAACGGACCCCTCGCTCGTCCCCTCCTCCAGCGGCGCCCCCCACGGCTCCGCAGCGAGGATCAGGCTCCGCAGCACAGTCTTACGCAAAAGCAGCGGCTCCACTCGCTAGCAGCAGTAGCAGGCTTTTGTCCTTTCGCTGCAGCAGCCCCCCGAGGGAGAGACGGAGGCACACGCCCGCTCCGTCTGTTAGGGCAGGCCACCCCTACATAAGAGGACGCTGTCCCCAAAACGCTTTGCCGAGCTACTGCCCTGGTCTCACCGCCAACCCCCCCTTAAAACTCACTCCTCCAGCAAACCGAGCAGCAGCGGGCTTGCAAAGGGAGCTGCCAACGTGGGTAAAGGGCCAGGGCCAGGGGGTTTCAAACTAGGGGGCGTGACCTAGGACTGGGGGGTGGGATGTCGGGCGCTGGGGCTCATGGCTGCAGGGGGTCAGGTGAGCAGTGGGGGTGGGGCTAAGGCAGCTCCCTGCCTGTCCTGGCACCACAGACTGCGCTGCGCCCCAGAAGTGGCCGGCAGCCGGCCCAGCTCCTAAGTGTGTGGGGGGGAGCTAGGTGTGTGTGTGGGGGGCTCCGCTCACTGCCCCTGCCCTGAGCACTAGCTCCACCCTCCCGCTGGCTGG